CTAAATTACATGACAATATCATCCTCTTACAAGTCCCAGATGATACTGTAGAAGGCAGCTGATGTATTCAGAAAAATAATATGAAGCAGTGTTTTTTGGTTGTGTCATAGATGTCACAATCATGAGTAATTAATAGCTATGATTATTTACACAAGGCCTATAAGTACACAAACACATGTGCACATGGGGAGATGCCAGGAGTTAGGAGGAGCCAGCATGAAATTCAGGAAGATGAGGAAAATAAGATGGTAATTTGGCAGGGGCAAGTATAGTCACAATACCCTGTATATAATGCAATTGTCCTCTTCAGGAAGGAACTCTTAGCAGTCACTTATTATGTGCATTCACTTTGTCCCATTGAGGACTGAGACTTCTTTGACCAAATCTGAAAGCAGCACTAGATCTATAAATATATGTTGTATATATTAATGAAATTTGAAAAGATATTTAAAACTGAAAGCTTTAATGCCTTCACATTCCTGTAAATATGTAACTCATAAACTACAGCATTAAATCAGCATGAATAGCATTAAATCAGCATGAATAGTGTAGCAATAAAATTTATATTTAAAAAATAAATGAATACTCAATACCAGCAATAAAATTTGATGGAAAATATATAGAATGACAATTTATAATAAAAGATAACCAAAGTTAGAAAATAGTTACTGTGAATATTTATTCAACTGTTATTAATATCATAATCTCAACCCAATATAATAACTACAATGATTGTAGACATTTATTCACTGGTTCAAAAAATGTTATGATATTTTCAGGAGTATTGATATAGTACAATACCAGTCTTTTAAAGAGATTAAAACAGAAAAATTCCCATGTGTTTAATGTGAGTAAAGTGAAGAGTTTGAATCTTTGAAAATAGGCATACTTGAATATATATAGTAAGTCAAAATGATTATAAATTAATAGCATATATTTCCTAAAGATTATAAATAAAATTATAATTCATGTCTATATAATTGTAAGAGATCAACAACAAAGCCAAACTTTAAGTGGAATTACATTATTTACAATCAGTGTTTACATAAAAGCTACATTAAACATAAATAATATAAAATATAGATGCAATTCTTAAAATAAAATATATTTATTATTTTATCTGAAAAATATTTATAATACAAAAATGTGAATTCATTGTCAATTATATGCTATAGAGTGTTTCTTTCCTAAAATGCAATAAATGCTCTCACATTCATTAAATGCCAAATTTGTTTTGAACACTTAACATATATCATTAATAAGATCTAAGACAGTGAAACAGTATAAGCAAAAAGTACTTTTTAAATCCCAATCCCAAATGATATGTGGGATATTTGTCCACTGTATGAATACAGTTGGTTTAATAAAGAACTGAATGGTCAATAGCTAGGCAGGAGATATAGGTGGGATTTCTAGGGATAGAAAGGAATAGGAGAAATCGATTGGAAGAAGATGTCAGGACACATGGAGCAGAAACAGGAGATGCAAGATGGGAGAGAATTCATGCCTCGTGATAGAATGTAGATTAATATAAATGGGTTTATTTGATTTATAAGAGCTAATGAGGAAGAAACCTATGCTATAGGCTGAAATTTCATAATTAAAAAGAACATGGGCACACATGTTGATAATTCATGCACTGTTTCTTTTCATCATAAACTTTAAAATTTTTCATATTTTCCTCAATATATTACAATATGCCATTTTCCTCCCATGTAATATTATTCCAGTAATTTAAAACAAAACCAAATTTCTGAACTAATGATTTTATTTCTGTCCAGACAGTTATAAAATTGTGATTAAATTATGATTTTTAAAAATATTTTTGAATATTTTACAAACATACAGGAAAATTTAGCAATATGTTTAAATTATATCAAAGAATTTTTACTTTCTTCAATGTGTTATATTCATTTTGTTATCACATTGACATGGGATTATAAAATTTGTGCAATTTGGGAAACAGAAAAATAAAATTTCACTTAACTAAGATAGGACCTATAATAAACTTATTCGTGTTAAAAAAGATTGATTTTTGAAATTATGGCTATGCCAATATTATGTTTCTTAACAAATATCTGACAAATAATAATATATTAAATACTATATAAGCTTAAGAATCACAAATATATTTTTCCCATTACATGCTATTTGCCATGATAAACACAAATAATTAGAGCACAGGTTTAATATGAATGTCCTGATATCCAATGATATCACAAACTTCATTTTTTCATTTATGTTACATAACAACCTGTTTCCATCAATGTTATTTTGAGTACATGAACAATTGTACAATTATCTTCTTCTAAACTAGATCATTTGTACTTGATTTAAAACATTTATAACAATTTAGAAAACAACTAAATACAGCTTTACATTAGCTATATCAAACGGTTTTAAAGTGCTGCAAAACAGGTTTAAATTATTCAATACCTGAGATTATAAACATAAATAAAAAAGCTTGGAAATGCAAATATGTTCTCTAAATTAAGGTTTACACAGAAGAATGACAATTTTGACTATGGTTGTAAGATATAATAATAAAGGAAATATTAGTCCTGTATAGGAAAATATTTATGACAAATAAGAGAATGTAAATTCACTATCAGTTCTGTAAAATCAATTAATCATTACAAAACTCAAAAAAATATGTTAGTCATTGAATTGAAATTTTATTTTAATTTCAGCTATTTAAAAACAAAAATTCTTTCCTCTCACATGCACCCTAACCTCCCTCCCCTCCCATTGCCCACCCCAATTCCATATGTAGGGGAATGCCATCCAGTTGGGGTCATGTAGATCTGACAGATCATGTGAAGTGGGACTAGGGCTTCTCTCCTGTCTCTGGTTAAGGCAGTTATCCCTCCATGGGGGATGTGTTAGCAAGGTCCTTTTGTGCACCAGGGATACATCCTGGCTCCACTGTCTGAGGTCCCTTAGACTGCTCAGTCCTTCTGAGGGTAAAAGGGAAGGAGAGAGGAAGGGACGGAGAGGAAACTGGGATTGACATGTAAAATAATAAATTAAACAAAAAAATGCTTTGACTCCAAATTTTAAGTTCAAGAAAAAGTTACTGGGAAAAAGGATTTCTATTTTTGTTTCCACAGAAAAAGAAAAGCTGTGGATTCCTTCCAGACTAATGCTGTTTGATCAGGCCAGACCATTAAAAGAGTTATGGAATAGACTAAAGTGGTTTGATCAAGCCAGACCACCTGAAACAGAGTACCAGGTGATCCTACATTCAAAACAGCTGGACAAAGCAGCCTTATAGACTACAGCCAGGATTTATGCATCTTCTTAGAATCCCCCATGACAGTGCTCCTTACCAGCAGGAAGTAGTTTGAAAAGAACAATGCCCAAATTCCCTAATATTGTCTATAAATGTTTGTTTTCATTTAAATAGACTTGGTTATATAAAATAAAAAAAAACATAAATAACTGAAAAAAAATAAAAATTCTTCTTTGGCAAATATATGCACATATATGCCAAAGAACAACAATATATGTACATATATTCCTATTATCCTCTCTTTTCACAATTTCTTATTCATCTTCCATCTCCATCATTCTCTTCTCTGCTAGTCACGAGTTTTCTTAGCAATTTAATTTAAACACTGCCATTGCAGCTATACATTAGATAACTGTATGTTTGTAAATGTGTGTTAAATTTAAGGTAATGGCTTTTCCTCTTCAAGTTCAACAGAAACATATCTGTTGCCATTGAAATTTACAGCATTATAAGCTATCCCTCTCTTCGTGTTTGAAGTATTCAATGGCACATTATTACAGATATCCACTGCATTATTATTTTGTGGTTTCCAGAGCTGTGTTTTGTCTGCAAATTGTAGTCAAAAGCTCTATTATAACTTCTTAATATTGTAATATCTTTTAAAGGTTATTTAAGTGGTATCTAGGATGATAACTAAGTAAACAATTTGATATTGATCATAGGAGTCCTGTTTCTAAAATAGTTAAAGTATAGACAAGGATATTATAAGTGGATATTTCTTGCTTGATCAATTTATATTCAGTGGAACATAAGATGAGAACACTGTGCTGACTAGACATATGCTGAAAAATTTCAGTGGCAAAGCATCTGCAAAAATTTAGATATTTTTTTTTTTAAAATAAGAAGCTCACCACTTACAATTTTCCCTAAATAAATGTATGAAGACAGCTGAAGCAATACATGGAGACAATACCAAGAACTTTGTATCTACAAATTATACAGAAATATACATGCATATTATTGTATTTATATTTGAAGAGTTGTCAGCATGTCAATAGTTGTTATAGGCCTTCTAGTCAGGAAAATGTCAGTTTCTCCGTTGTAACCATTATTTGTCTATAATGTAATTTTATTTACTTTTAATAATTTACTTTGAACCTAAGCTTTGAAAGATTATATGATTTTTCATATAATTGCATTTGTGATTAAACATAAATGAAAATAATCGTTAAACCTTAAGTCAATAGTTTTCATACATAAACAAAATCATTTCATGTATTTCAATATGTTTATGATGTTATAGCTGTCATTTGTGATTATTTCCTGAAAAAGATTTCATGTGTAATCATAAAATCTGTTTTGAAATTGTTCTCTATGTTGCTGATAAAATTGAAGATAAAGCAATCTGTGAAATTTGCTAATTCATATTGCAAGAGGATACCATCTGACACCTTGGTCACTTTAAAAGTTGTCTCACTCATAAGATAGAAAAATAAAATTTGAGCGTGTTTATAGTTTTAAGAAGTATAAACCTATCTAATTCTTCATATTGGTTGTCTATAAAAACAGATATTAAAACAATGTATAAGAAGTATTTCACTTTCTGTTATACCATGTACTTTTTAAAACACATTCCTGGAAGTCATGAAGAAATGTTTATCCAATGCAACCTCCATAAAACCAAGAAAATAAAAGCTTTTGCTTATTTTTCTATGGGGAGATGATGAGAGTGATGTGAATAAAAGAATTTAAATCTTAAGCATTACTGTTAGCTGTCCAGAGTGCTCACTCTCTTCTTTATAACTCTAATGACAGCATATTTTACTTCACTATTTCTAAGACTATAAATAAGTGGATTCAGCATGGGGGTCACAATGGTGTAAAACACGGAGGCCAATTGGTCCTTTCCCAAGGAGGACTTATTTGACTTCAAATGAGTAAATATCAAGGTACCATAATATATGATGACTGCCACGATATGAGAGGCACATGTTGAGAAGGCCTTTCGTTTTCCTGAAGTGGAATTGATCTTCAAGACAGTAGAAAGAATGGACATGTAAGATGCAGATATTGCGATAAGGGACAACAGTAAGGTAGAACCAGCAAAAACAAATATAATTAATTCAATATCATGTGTGTTGCTGCAAGACAGGGCTATAAGTGGGGCTGCATCACAAAAAAAGTCCTGTATGACATTAGACTTGCAGAAATCTAATGTACTCATGCATAACATATTGACGGTGGAATCCACAGCTCCTAACACATATGACACAGTAACAAGGACACTACAGAATTTGCTGGACATAACAACTGAATAGTGTAGAGGGTTTGAGATGGCTACATACCGATCATATGCCATTGAAGACAGAAGGAAACACTCAGTAACAGCCAAAAGGACAAAAAAGTAAATTTGAGTGAAGCAACCCATGTAGGAGATGTTCTTGGTAGAAGTCAGCAGATTCTGTAAAGTTTTAGGTGTGATGACAGTTGAGTAACTAAGATCAAGGAATGACAGGTGTGTTAGGAAAAAATACATTGCAGTGTGAAGCTGGACATCTAGATGAATGATCAGTATCATGCCTATGTTCCCCAGCACAGTGACCAAGTATATCAGGAGAAACAGCACAGATAGGAACAGCTTGATCTCTCTAACATCTGTCAATCCCATGAGGATGAATTCATGTTGATTTGTGTAATTCCAGGTTTTCATTCTGAGTGCTGTAAACTGTCCAGAAATTAAAAGGGACACTTATGTTAAATGAATCTTAATAAAATATTTTATGTATGTTTTGCTATTTTTGTAATTGATTTCTGTTGCCTCAAATTAGAAATAGCTTTTTATGGTGTTATTTAAAGAAGGAATGCCAAAACTTTTCTTTATTACATAATCAGGATAATAAACTTTTTATATAGTTTCAGTGAATATTTTGCCTTCATTTGTTAAAGGAAAAAAGTACAAAATAATAAATGATGACCGAGGATTCAGCTCAAATGCCTCTTGATTGCCTGTATGTCATTGTTCAAAAGATAGTGTTCCAAAGGAGTGCAAAGTCAAAGTTGTACTAAAAGTACAGTTTCAAAATATAATGTAGACTTTTAGAATCTTATAAAATTAACACACCTTTTTTTTTGCCAGATATTGCTCCTTGTGGAATTCCCAATCTTAGTGTATCCAAAAAGTCTTACCGTGAATGAGTTATTTTATTTTATCTGTTCTAAGTTCTTATAAATTTAAGAATACTTACTGTGAGCAAAATTTTTGGAAATCAATAACTATAAACAGATCTTTCATTTCATATGTCTAAAATTTTGGAAACTTCCAAGCTTCTTCTTGAGATTTCCAAATATTTGTGCTTTTATTCCATTAAAAGGGAAGTCAGACAAACAGTTTTTTTCAGATCTGTCGGACTAGAACATTCACAGTTGCTCTTAGGAAAATGAGTTTAGGAGCTGGTGATTTTCAGTAGAGCAGTCTGTGTCCTGCTCTCTACTTAATCAGTATACAGAAATGTGTGTAAAAGTGCTGAGTATCATATAATATGTCATCATCCTCAAGGGCCAAGTGTTTTTGCAATATTGGAATGAAACTAATTTCCGGGAGTATTTGTGCCAAAGTTTTCTCTTCCTTCCTTCCTTCCTTCCTTCCTTCCTTCCTTCCTTCCTTCCTTCCTTCCTTCCTTCGTTTCTCTCTTTCTTTATTTCTGGAAGCACCAAAGTGAGTAGATTGTACAAGGCTTCCTCTCTAATTATATATTTACAATGTACAGAGGTCTTATGAAATCATTTTCTTTACTTCATATGAGAGATGTTCACAAATAGACATTTTGTTTTAATAAGTGGCATCCTCAAGGTTGTATTTATGAAGCTTCAATAAACAACAGATAAGACACAAAATTAAAAACACATAGTGGTGTGGAGATTAATTCATTTATAAGGAAGCAGGTTGTATCTCTTTTTAAATGAGAATAAACAGAATTAACTGTCATTTAAATAAAGCTATATACTTTTGGAATAATATTTTCCCAGAGTGAGGAATAATAAAAGGAATAAGTCCTTTTACACAGAGTATTGAAGTAAAATTCTCTTGTTAATCTGTCATCAATTTGTGGGGAAATAAACATCTTTATCTGTAAAGATTTCATGAGATACTTTATTATTATGGATGGAGACATTTACTTTACATTATTACAAATTTTTGACCAATATGATTTGTTAAATGTATCTTAATGTTACTGACTAAACAAGGTAGTTTGTAGAGACTTCATCCAACTTTTTGACAAACAGGTGTGTTATGAATAGGTTTCCACCGTCCTGGTCCCTCAGCCACACCAGCCCCAAATAACACACAGAGATGCTCTATTAGATATAGCTGTTGGCCTGTTTCTAATGTTTCTTATTGGCCAGCTCTGTCATGCATATTAACCCATTTCTATTAATCTTAGTATTTCCACGTGGTCTTATCTTACCAGAGAGAGAGCCCAGACCTCTGTTCTCTCAAGTCTCTACATGTTGACTTCTCCCTACTATGTCCTCACTCCTTCTTCTCTCCTTGTCCCACCTATCTTGCTTTTCTTTTGGCCAACAGTGTCTTTTTCATTAACTAATATGATAAACATATTTACAGAATGACATCTCCCATTATCTCCACTTTTCTGTCTAAATAAAAAAGAAAGGTTTTAACCTTAACATATCACAATATTTAACAAAGCAGTTATCAAATAAAAACCATAGTTAACAATATTTAGTCCATTAACATTTAGTAAGATTTAAAGAAAATATTCCATCATCTATCTTATCTTTGTAAGGCTAAAATCCTACACGTAACTTATCTTTAATCCTAAGTAAGGAAAACTATATCCAAAACTGTCTGTCTTTAACAATATCAAAGACGACAGAAGGATAATATATGAACTCTAGGAATGACAGAGACATCTTGCTACCTGATCACTCACCTGAAGTTCTTCTTTAATTTTTCATCTTCAGCCTATAGGCCATAATATGTTTGACAGTCTCCTCAGCAAAGCAGGAAACTTTAAATTGTCCATCTGTACTGTCAGTTTGTTAGTCCTTTTTCTCTGTGTCCTGCCGACTGTCTGGCAGACTCTTTCATAAAGCAGGAACCCTGTAGCAATGTCCATCTTGTATCAGCAGTCACTTTCCTGTGGGTCTTGCATGTCCAGTTTAAACAGCATAAAGTCGAACAGTCCAGAAAGGAACAGTACCTTGCCCAAAAGGTTAATCTTGCCATATTGAAAACAAACTCCATAACACATTTCTTCAATGTCCATTTCCTTTCTGACAGAGGTGGTATTGCCAGAAGCAGTTGTGCCTCACTTAAGAAAAACCCTAAACCATTTTAAATACCATATTCTGTAGGTCTTTGAAAGGTTTGAAGAATGCCTATTCATCTAAAATATCTCTCTGTATATCTAGAAAACCTAAGTAACTTTACTCCAAGTTTTGACTATCATAGATAATTATTTATAATTTGAACTAACATACATTTCTAAATGAGCTATATAAGCATATCATCTAAACAAGAGGATAAATATACATTTCACAAAATTGACCTTAAATTGTTATCAATAAATGAAAATCCATTCCAAACAATTATTCATATCTATAACAGTATCAATAAATGAAAATCCAATCCAAAAGAAAGTATTTATAGCTATACCACAACCCACTTTAACTTTAATAAGATTGATTGTGATCATTAACCATTTATAAACAACTGTATTTAAATGAAAACAAACATTTATAGATAATATTTGGGTATTTGTATTCTGTTCTTTCCAAATTGCTTCCTGCTGGTAGTGGACACTATCATGGGGATCCTAAGAAGATGCAGAAATTTTGGCTGTAATGGTCTGTAAGGCTGCCTTGTCCCATGGACACTGCTTCAGGGGGTCTTGCTTGATCAAACCATGTTAGTCTGGAAGGAATCCACAGCTTTTCATTTTCTGTGGAAACAAAAATAGAAATCCTTTTCTCCAGTAACCTTTCCTTGAATGTAAATTTTGAAGTCAAAGCATTTTAAAAATACTAAATTGGATTAATCCAGCAGCATTTCTATTAACAGTTGTTATTTCCTCAGCTGTCAAATGATTCAAAGATGATATATTACCATACAATATTGAGATTCTTTCTGTGCTTTCCATCTTTATGTGGTTTTTTTTATTACTCTATTTCTTCTACTTCTATTCTTTCATTGTTTGAGACAGGGTTGCTCTGTATAACTTTTTTCTGTCCTTGAATTAACTCTGTATACATGTTTACTTTGAAATCACATTGATGTGCTTGCCTCTGTCTCTGGAGTGCTGGAATTAAAGCCATGTGCCACCACACCCAGCTACTCTCTGTCTTTTTACTATTCTTTTTTAAACCATTTTATCCTGTTTCTTTTTCTCTCCCAAGCCTATGTATATTTTAAAACACACTGTAAAACTTTAGCAGTTTTTCTTAATCTGAATCTTTCTTTATCTTTTTTTGTGGCCACGAGTCTTTTTCTGGTAAACAACATTGCTAAAATGAAAGCCACAGCTGTATTAGCCATGGTCTATCAAGGATGATATTGGGTACCTTTACTGCCAGAACTGAGAGCTGTGCTCACTGCCTTGGTCTACACTGCCATCCACCAGCATGTTACCGGCTCAGAGATGTGGTCACTGTCATTGCCAGGTTCCTACACACCATTAAGTTATTAGAAGAGCTATTTAAAAGCTGTGCAGATTTTTTCCCACTTATGGTGAGTCAGAAAACCTCCCTTAAAGGAGCCACACAAGTATCTGCTTCTCTCTAGCAAAACAGAGCCCAACTGAGAAAAGTGCTGGTACTAAGAAACCTTGATTGTCTCGGTTCCTTTGCTTTTAAAACCCCCTTTTTAAGCTTTAGTCAAGTTTTAAGTGAAAGTTATTTGATCCACATTCAGCGCCATTTTGTTATGATCATATTTTCCCCACCAGTCTGATCCCTCAGCTGTGTCAGCCCCAAATAACACACAGAGACACTGTATTAAATATAAAACTGTTGGCCTGTTTCTAATGTTTCTTATCAGCTAGCTCTGTCTCACATATTAACAAATTTCTATTAATCTTATCTTAGTATTTCCACGTGGTCTTATCTTACTGGAGAGAGGGCCTGGATGTGTCTTCTCTCAAGCCTCTACGTGGTGACTCCTCTCTACTACTTCCTGTCTCTTCCTTCTCTCTTAGTCCCACCTATCTTGCTTTCCTATTGGCCAACAGTGCTTTATTCATTAACCAATATGAGAAATATATTTACAGAATGACATCTCCCATCACAAGTTACCTTGATGATTTCAGATAACTTAGAAGTTTAGATTGGCTTCTACATGAAGCTTCTTACTCAATGTAATTGCCAGATCACCTTGAAAATATTCTATTTGCACATTTTCATTGACATTTTTTGTCAGTGTTGATTGCATACAGTCCAGACCATGATAAAAAATCCAATATCAGGCCAATTTCTAGTCATTGCTGAAGCAAACATGTTTTCATAGTACATGCTATTTTGGTTTACATAATAAGACCATTTACAAAGCCCCATGACTAAGACTTTCTTCTTTCTTGAATTATTATTGCTTCTGAATAATATTTATTTTATATTTCATTCATCAGAAGATAACCTTATTTTTCAAATTTGCTTCGTTTTTCAGTTAATTGCATTCGTGCATAATATCTACAGTGG